TTACCTTCAACTGCTTTTCTTTTTATTATTATTATTATTATTAATAATATTATGAATAAACCTACCGAATCATTTTAAGCAGACATATAGTGAACAGAATTTTGCTTATTTATCCTGGACAAGTTATTAATGTGAAATCAGTCACTTTCCCTATATGCGTGGAAATCTTATTGCGTCAGAACAGTAACTTTAGTCAGGGAGTGCTCACTACTGCTCTCCCAACACAGCCAATCTGTCACAACAAATGATCAGATCCGTTGCACAGCTTGTTCCTATAATCCAATGCATGAACACCCTAAATTAAATTGCTTTACCTTAACATGAATGGGCAAAAGGTTAATAAATAACAGAAATGAACTAGCAGCAGGTGCATTGGCAGACGTAACAATATCTAAAAAGTAAATATTTCTGAGAAAAGGGAGAAATTACTGGAAAAAAGCTGATAAAGCTGGTCAGACACACAAAAGGTCAGGGTGTTTGATCTCACTTTGGGTTACAGTAAACCTGTGCTTAGCTTAAACCATTTGTGACCAGATGTCAATAATACCTTGTCCAGTTCAAATAAATCATCATCACTAAAAGGGTCTATTTGTACATCTTCCGCCCGGCCATACACTGAACGAAAGCTGTCCACATGGCATTCCCGGCACAAAATGAAACCTTGGTTCCATATAGTGGTAAGAATGACTTGCAAATGGCATTTACACAGCGAATGGCCAGGTGGTAGATTTATAAGTAGACCCCTTAGTGTCAGTTAACTTTAAAAGAGCTAAAAAAAAAAAGCTTTGAATTTACCAGGACCCCCTGGTTGTTGTATACAAGGGTGCTGGAAACCGGGTAATTTTCATTGAACAATTTTTCTGGAATTTTTCTCTGGGGACTATGTTTAAGTAGATGTTGGGCTATTTGGTCGGGGATGGAGCTACTCTTTTCGGACTCTTAAGCTGTTCTGCGTCCTTTAGCATTCCTTTTCCTTTTATTGTCTGTCTTTTTTATTCTCTCATTATGCTCGCACACGTGAGCTGTTTAGTGCATTGTTGTTGGACAGAAAGTCTTCTATGTATATAGATATGGAGGAGATCATAACAAATGTTTGCTGCAGACATAGGCGGATCCCTATGCCAGATATTCCTCTCAGACTGTTTTGAGTTTTGTTTTTGCTGATGGGGGATACATTGGCAAGAATAGGGTGATAGATATGATCTGTTTTACAGAACTATTAAATATTGTGTGTATGGCATCTAGTGATCCCCCCCTACTATTTGACTATGCTAATGTGGAAGAATCTGAAATGCAATTGTATGCTATACTGATTGTGCATCATGTGCTATTTTATCGTTTTATACTACTTTGGAAAATTAATAAAATACTTTGAAAGTTAAAAGAGCTAATGTTCCTACCTAAAGACATTTTACATTGTTTAGGGACATTTAAGGTTTTTATTTGGTGCCATGCTTAAATACGCTGCTCATATTACTATATGCTGACAAAGCATAAGCAAAACCACTGTCTAGGCCAGGGGTAGCCAAAATCCAGCCCTCCAGCTGTGGTGAAACTACAAATCCCATGATGCATCTGTCTCTCCGGGAGTCATGTCTGTGGCTGTGAGAATCTTGCAATGCCTCATGGGATTTGTAGTTCCACCACAGCTGGAGGGCCAGAGTTTGGCTACCCCTGGTCTAGGCCATCACATAGAGAAAGACAGACAACCAGCTTTTAAAGTAAGTGACAGCTGTTACAAATAAAGCCATGTGATCACCATGTCATAGCCAACATGGTTATTACATGATCAGGAATGAAGCTGATCATTTCCTGATCACTTTTCTGTTCAGGACTGACACAAGAGTGCACGCTGCTCTTTCCAAAAATAAAACATAAATTAACATATCCTCTGGACACGGGATGTTTTAAAAGAGAATGTTCATCTATTGACACCAAAAAGTTAAACAAAGCACCATGAAGTTCCTGCACTAAGCTTCTGATATCACAAGCACTCTGTGAGCTCTGGAACCCTAAGCAATCAATTCCCCAAAAAAATATCCAGTTCAGTTTCTACAAATGGATTGTCACTTCTGTACATTTCAGCAGATACTGATCAGATGAGAGCATTGTATGGCCTTCTGCAAGCAAGCTCCATATTAAACTGGGCACCCACAGCTTGATTTTCAACCAATTCAGCTGGAATCCGCCAAAATTCAAACTTTTTTTGAAGCAGTCTGGTGGAAACAGCGCCTGAATCCAATCAGATGCAGAAGCTATGTCGGTATTCAGCAACCGCTGCTGTATACAATAGCTGGCATCGGGGACACCTCTAGTCATGCAAAAGTGCAATTTTCTGGCCGATATAGCGACGCATTTGTTCTCTTTCTCCCCTCCCCGGTGCTCTGTGTCCCAGCGGGGAGGAGAGAATCTGTCACAGGCGGCCGAGCGCTGCTGAAAGAGACCGCTGTGAGCGGCCGGCGTCTCTCTTCCCGCACTGCTCAGCCTCCTGTGACAGATTGGAAGAGCAGTGTAGGAGGATACAGCTTGCAGTGCTGTCACAGGAGGCTGAGCTCCGCTCGCTCTGCCTCCTGTGACAACGTATCAGGATAGAGATCAAGTACAAACACTCAGCGATCAGTGATCGCCAAGTGTTTGTAAATAATTGAGGACAGAGTATGTTTACAAGTAATGAATGAACAGGAATTAATACAGGAAGCTTAATACAGGAAGCTACTGCACAGAGACAAACATTTGACACGGGATTACTGCACTGATCTGGAAGAAATACACAAAGTATACCAAGATTTTAGTAAAAATACAAATACTTCTTGTATGGAGACAAAATTTGCTTTTCCCAGAGTTCAACTTTAAAAAGGTAAAGATTGGAGAGCACTTTAAGTGTATTGCGGAGTGATGTAATGATCACAAAATTATTGTAGACTGCATTCAATTTACACACGAGGGTACAATAACAAGTTATTATTGTATGATAGATGAAAAATAATCAGTTACTTACCATATTCACACGAACAGCATGGATAGGGGAATCCAAGCTTTCAACCCAGAAAGTTTATTTCAAAGCACTGTGGCATTTTGGGTGCCAGGGGTTATAAAGCTAATGAAGGACCTGGCATGAAAGTACCTGGTGGTATTGTACCCAAATATCTGTAGTGCTATGATCCCTCAAAAAAATATCAGTTTTTCATTCATCTCGTAGGGCTGCACAACAGAAAATCAAACAGTATATGGCAAACTTAAGTGTATTTCGTAACACCCGGCCAATACATTACCACCTGGGAGTATTTACAGTGGGGAAGAATGTGATGTGCAGACACCCGATAGCGCCTGCCATGGGCTAACAGCTTCTGCATTTGGCAACTAAATAAATATTGTTGAAGAGGAACTGATCCCTGTAAGCTGTGGCAAAAAAGCAAGCTTTGTACTGCACTGGGTCTCTGTGTGGAAGTGGCCATCTTTGTACAGGAAGAGCTTTGCTTCTAAATGTCAGATCCTCCAGCAAGCAGCACAGTACTGTTATCACCAAAACTCCTAAAACTAATAGTCAGACAGCAGGACCCTAAATCTCACACTGCAAATATACAGCTAAGAGGTCTAGGAACATTCACAAACAAGGAAATGTACTGCTATTGCTTAAGCACGATTAACATTTCTAGTTATTTCCTATAACATAGCAAATTTTCACTTTTTTTATTTCAGTTCCACTATGGGGTTGCTTTAATGCTTACCTTTCTGAAGATAGACATACTCCAGAAATTGAACCAGCCTGTATTTTAGGTACACATATCCATTACAAATGGCTACTTTCATTGAATCATTCCAAACTGAAAAGATCACTGTATTTTAATTACATCGAAGTTTACAGTATTTTAACAAATGTTGCACGATTACATCAGTTTGAAATTGTTTCTAGGATGTGGTAAAAACAAACAAACCAGGACCAGAATAGAAAACAGCTTGGCAAAAGTCAGAGAGGGCTGATGAAACTAAGAAATTTTCCATTTGCTCTAGGACATTCACACAAATGCTGTTTAAATGAAGGGAAGAAAATCCATCCAAAAGGAGGACAATGTTATTTTAAAATGTTCTTTAACGTATAAAACAAGAAAATGTTCTTTATACTATATAACAAGAAAAAAATGTTCATCACAATAAACGTGATAAATTCTGATACTATATCCATATATAGCAGATAAGATACACTGCCCACAGGACTCTGAAGAGACCCCACTCATTATTATTCTCCGAGATCCAGTGTTCTGAATTTGTCCAGGTTGTAGAAGCAGGCCTTGACGATGCGGCCACCAAAATATCTTCCATTCAGGTCCACAACCGCTAGAATAAAAGAAAATCCATTACAGAAAGATCTGTATTTCTATAAATATTACTGAATATATACCCTGTTTCCCCGAAAATAAGACCTAGTACTATTTTTGGGAATTGCTAAAATATGAGACCTACCCTGAAAATAAGACCTAGTTGTGACCATTCCCAGGGCCGGTGGTGGCATAAGGGGGAACTTGAAGAGCCACGGGAAAGGCAGTAGAGAATCAGTAGTGCCAATTAAGCCAGCGCTAGAGGAAGCGAGGCGGCAGCGGAGGGAGCCAATGCCTCCTCTATGGCGCTGGCTCCTGTCACTTGCAGAGTGATACCAAATGCACTCGGCCTGTGAGGAATCGATAGTGAAAGTATGTTTCGCTCATTCTGGCCAGCGATTGGTTACCAAATTGCTCTTGCAGATTGGTTACCAAAGTGCTCGTGATTGCCTTGATCACCCTATTCCTAACTTTGCTATTTTGGATTATTTAATTTGTATTTGCGTTAACCTAGTGTGTGTTTTGAGCCAAAAAACATAAATAAGACAGTGTCTTATTTTCGGGGAAACACAGTAGCATATTCACAGAAAACGTCTGTGAAGTTCTGCCACTGCAAGTGCTATTTCAGGTTAGGCAGGTCCAGAAATAATGATGCTTGTGAGAGTCACATGTCTCAAACCTGCATGTAATTGCAAGCAAGAGTAGAAGCTATAGAGCAACCAGAAAGGAATTTGAGTCAAGTTTTTAATGGCCAGGTCACCCCTCTCTGTTAAAAAGGTAAATCCACAAAACAAACGTGCCTTTGGTTGTATGTTTATCACCATATGAGAGAGGAGAGAGAGAGAGAGTGAGGAGGGAGAGTGAGGAGAGAGAGTGAGGAGGGAGGAGAGAGAGAGAGAGAGAGAGAGGAGAGAGAGAGAGGAGAGTGAGGAGAGAGAGAGTGAGGAGAGAGAGAGAGGAGAGT